ATCTGTGTTTCAGAATTCAAGAGCAGGGGGCGAAAAAGGGTTAGCTTGGTTCTGTCCTACGGCTACAGTTAATCCTTGAATGGCTCAAAAAAGTTCTGCAAATTCAGCCTTGGTCAGATGATTTAGGGCTTTAAGTCGTTCAATATGCTCTATGGATGGTCTTCACGCGTCATTCCTATAAAAGAAAGGAAGACATGAGTTGGAGATTTAATCTTTAAAAAGAGGACATATTTCTTCCCTAGGTACTCCAAAAGATTTATCCACCTTAGGCCTCAGTTCAAGGGATTTATTATGCGAAAATTCTACTCTGATACCATATGTGACATTTCAAGTACTAATTAATGCAAATGAGTGTCAAATACAGATTAAGAATAACGAATGCATAATAAAATTTATGCAGCAAAATCAACCCATAATAAATCCCTTACAAATATACATAATGTTTCAAATACATACATAAACTGAAGCCAAAAGTGGCTACAAAATACAAAACACAAGGGTCATTTCATTCACTATGTTATTGGGTTCATCAGAGTGCGGGAACAGTCATGCACTCAGACTTATAGATCAACGGGATCCTCATAGACTTCCAAGGGTAGGTCAGTCTACAGTTCCTCATTTTCTTCCTCATCTGGGGGGAAGGGCATGGAAAAAATGAGTTCCATATACTCAGTAAGGAAAATAGTATTAAATTAATATCGTAAAATTTTAAAAGTTAGTTATTTCATCTTACCATTCCTCACTTATCTATCTCACACTATGGAAAACTATTTATTTGTTAAGAAAATGATATGTTGATACAAATAATCAAACATATATCATACTAGATAATAGAGAAATCAAACAAATCATGAAATGCTCAAATTTTTCGTGTCATGCTTCATGAAGTCGTTATAAACTTCCATTTTTGAGAGCAGATATAGATTACGCAGTGGAATCAAATCATAATAAATCCCTTACAAATATACATAATATTCCAAATACATACATAAACTGAGGCCAAAAGTGGCTACAAAATACAAAACACAAGGGCCATTTCATTCACTATGTTATTGGGTTCATCAGAGTGCAGAAACAATCATGCACTCAGACTTATAGATCCACGGGATCCTCATAGACTTCCAAGGGTAGGTCAGTCTGCAGTTCCTCATTTTCTTCCTCATCGGGGGGGAGGGCATGGAAAAAGTGAGTTCCATATGCTCAGTAAGGAAAATAGTATTAAGTTAACATCGTAGGATTTTAAAAGTTAGTTATTTCATCTTACCATTCCTCACTTATCTATCTCACACTATGGAAAACTATTTATTTGTTAAGAAAATGATATGTTAATACTATATAATAGAGAAAATCAAACAAATCATGAAATGCTCAGATTTTTCGTGTCATGCTTCATGAAGTCATTATAAACTTCTATCTTTGAGGGCAGATACAGATTTTCAACTACCCAATTGGAATGACCAGATCAGATACAGATAGGACAATTTGCTTAGATCCATTTCCGGTTAGCCAAACCATGGTATGATTTATGATCACAGTCGTACCAACCATAGTGGTCCTAACAAATATCTATGGTCACGACATTACCTAACCACGAGTAACCCCTATAGATAGTGCGATACCACTCTCGTCAGAGGGTACGCCGTCATCTACTGGGAACAGTCCTCTTACGTCTTTTCAGACCAGATAGGGGAGGAGAAAAAAGATACTCCAAAGGGTAAGGGGAACAGATATCCCTCAGAGATAAAAATTCTAACGAGACACTTGATGCAATATGCATGTCAATATAGATACACTTCGGACCATACAGGCTTCATTCCACTTTTCTCTTTCTTTTTCTTTTCTTTATGCTTTTTACTTTTACTAATTACATATTATATTATTACATGCAAATTCATCAAGTGTTAGCAATTCACATAGCATGCTTGAAAACAAGAATAATTTGACTCATATGAACAAAGAGGCATACAAAACAAACAAAATCACAATCATATTAAATTAGTTTATCTAAAAATACTCCTTAAGACGTTGAAGAAATACTAGGTTCTTTACCAAAACCTTGATGTTTTCTCCCTCACTGTTCTCCTTTCTTTCTCTTCTTCTCTCACTAATTTACTATCTTTTCTCTCTCTCTAAACCTTTAAAAAATAAAAAAATGGAAGTATGAAGAGGAAAGAAAGGTGGAGGGTAATTTATAAAATTTCAGAATTGTTTGATTCTTGCTAAGTGGCAAAATCCGGTGAAGAGAGAGGAGAAAAAGATGTTTGGCACAAAAAACGAGATATGAGGGCCTCCTCCACCCGCGGTGGCGGCGCACCGCCCAAGGCAGTGGCAGTGCATTGCCGAGGTAGCAATGCTCCGGCTGACGCACTGTACGCTTACTGCCATGCATGCAGGGGCTAGCTTGTGCATGCACAGGCCTGTTTGGTGCGGACGTGCGTGCTGGCATGCGGATGGGTCGTGCGTGCTGTGTGCACTCCCGGCGGCCACTGTGCGCGCGCATGCGCGCACAGTGCCCAACACCCGCGCGGGCAAATCGCTCTCTTGCAGGATTTTTCTACCAGCAATTTTTCTCATTTCGCCATTTTTTGATTTTTTTTCTAAAGTGTCCTTTTAATCTAAAATAAAATAAATTTTAAATAAAAATTTATAAAAATAAAATAAATCAAAATCATAACTCACGAGAAATGTTAAACATCATAAATTAATTAAGTTTAAGGCAGCTATAAGCTGGAATAAATAAAGGTTCCAAATTATTTTAGCATAATGATGAGCGGGGTGTTACCGTCATGACTACCAATGATGATAATTATAGCATTAAATCTATATGTACTGGGATAAGATTTTTTCTGAAAATAGTTTAGCAATGGAAGTATTTGACATTTTTTAGTTTATTCGAGTTTTAAGAGTTTAGAATCCTCTACATCCTTTGAGTCGTGAAATTCATTCTTTTGTCTAATCTAAATAATTCTTTACAAAAGAAAGTATATTTTGGTATAGAATTAGATATATATATATAAGTAAAAAGAAAAAAATAAAAATAAAATACTCTGACGATCACTTAATTTTACACCACCAATGGGCGTAGCTTAGCAGTTCGACGTTATGCTAGCTTAACTAGAGGTCTCAAGTTTGAGCCTTGGGAATGCAGCTGCCTTTGGTAGGGAGGGCTTACTCCTTAGTAGACCAATTTGGCTCGAAAAATAAAATGGTGGTTATGAGTAGAACCAATAGCTAAAAAAAAAAAACTTACTTCACTGATCACTCAATTTTACACTATCAAGCGGCGTAGCTTAGCAGTTCGAAGCTATGCTAGCTTAACCAAAGGTCTCAATTTTGAGCCTTGGGAACGCAACTGTCTTTGATAGGGAGGGCTTACCCCTTAGTGGACTGATTTGGCTCGAAAATAAAATGGTGGTTATGATTAGAGCTAGTAGCCATTCAGAAGTATGATCAACTGAGTAACCGGAGGCCAGCATCACTAATGTCTGCACTCGCATAAAAAGGTTGACTGACATTCCAAACAAACTAGTAAGGTTTTAAAGAAAATTGAAAAAAAAAAGGTAAAAATAAAGTTGCATGTATGCCTACTCTTTTGCTAATTGAGCTTGATTATGTTTTCGGTTATAAAGTTTGGATATTACAAATGATTGAATGACTCATAGAATATTTTAAATTATTAATTTCTAATATTAAGATGGGACTGGAAGGGGTCTATATTTAAAATTGCTTAATTGTCTTCCATTGATGATTGTACTTGTGTATATATTATTTTGTGTTATCCTGAGGTAATATAGTCTTGATGAGGAGGATTTCATTTATGGTTTTGTTATGGAATGAATTTAAGATTGCTTGAGGACAAGCAGTAGCTTGATCTTCCTAGGACTTCCAATTTGAGTGGAAATACTCCTTCAATTCGGTACTTTAAACACATGAGATAATTGTAGAATTCTTAGAATCTTTGGAAAACTTGAAAAAGTAATAAAAGAAGTCCAAAAGGACTCAAGAACAAGTTGTTGCGAGGGTAACTTAATGTGCATGCACGGGTGGGTGTGCAATTGTCACGCAGGTCATGTTAGATGGCTGCACGAGTCACGTCAGGTGTTGCTACTCGCACACCCCACGTACTTGTCCGTGTGGGTGAAGTGCCTACATGTGTGGGTACCATGGTTCACATGTGTGAAGGGTCACACACATGTAACCAATGGGTACTCACCCAATTTACATTTTCAGCTTCCTTCAGGGTCGAGATTCGTAGGCCGAGTTATTCTTTGGTCGTGAGGCCCAATAACTACCTCGTTTCCCGTCTTTTATGATTCTTCTTCTTTTTATTTTTCTTCAGTTGTTATCACATCGGGAAGGCATAATTCTCTTTATAGGATGGGAAAATTCTCATATGAAATTTCAAAAATCCTCGCACTATTATTTAATATTAAGACATCTACAGTTTATGGTCTACAACATATCTAAGTTAAAGGTGACTCTCAGCTAATCTATGACACTTCCCTCACAATTCAATGTTCGAAGTTTGGTTTATTGGTAGAAGATGTTTATTTTATCAGCTCTATTTCTCTTTTGTTAATTATAGTTGGATACATAGAGATAGTAATAAAGTCGTACATGCCTTTAGGGAGTCAAAACATCCAATTGATTCATTGTTGATCACTTACAAATTTCCAATTTACGTGGCTTCGTTGTTCTCACAAAACTTGCTTATCCATTAATAATATCAAATGCCTTTATTTTTTAAAAAAGAAAGAGGACAAAAAAATTGAAGAAATGTGAGAAAATGTCAACATATTTTTTCATCTTAAATGGTGAGGGGTGGCCTACATCTCCACTTCAATAAAATCATTAATCAAATTATATAGTTTTCATATTCAACCCAATTGGAGGTGGTTGCGTTAGATGCTGTCCCCACACGCACCTTTTTATAGTCAAACTTGTTTATAATTGCGTGCCGATCATAAACATTTTCAATTATCATTTTTATAAATATTCTCTTGGAACACACATGGAAATAAGGCTCTTTACTAGTGGCATTTATGTCCAATTGGTTTCTTCTTGTTAAAGGATTGAAAGGGTATACTGCGTAATTTCAACAGCAACTTTGATGAGTCTTCGCCATGAAATTTACGTTTTGGAATTTAGATGCTGCAGAGCCAAGGCGTGAAAAAGGCGACCTCCTCTTTCTTTGAATCCGCGCTTTCTGTTTCTTCTCTCTTGATTGATTTTTGATAAAAGGAAAAAGAAAACCCATATTTTTCATTGCTGAAGAAGATGATTAAGATTCTGGGTGTGCGCAAAAAGTTGGTTTTGAAGTGGATGATTTCATCTCTGAACCCGAAATTGCCAATGATGTGCAGCCATTGAATAATTTTTGAGGTAATAGTTCAAGTTTGAATGTAAGTTTAAGTTTTATTATTATCCTCCTCACCTGCTTTTGCATCAGTATCGAAGTGAAATTTTTCTAGTTTGACATTAATGGACATCTGTCTCTCTTGTCTAAGCATTTATTGAGACAGATGGCTCTCCAACGGCATAAAACTTGAACTTTAATTCCATTAATTTCGATTTTCTTTTATGTTTTCTACAGAATATAAAAGTTTCCCCAATTTTACAACTATGTTTATCGTAATTCATGGTCAAGCATGTCAATCAAACAGTTGATCTATCTCAAGCTCATAATCCAGTCATAGATTCTTGTTTCCTCCGTTCTTTATTGCAGAGAGGTAATGATTCATTTGTTTCTTCGCAACCCAGTTGATCAGTTCACTTCAATTACTACCATCCAAGAAGATGATTCTTCACCAATTGAACTCACCTCTGATAATGACAATAATCATGCTGATGATCATCATCTCTTCAATAGAAGCTAAGAAGAGCTCAGTAAACTGCCAACGCTGTGGTAACAACTCCCTGCAATATCCTTTCGGTGTCTCTTCCGGATCGGGTTGCTCGATCCAATTAAACTGCAGCAAAACAGGCGCTGTCAAAATCGGAGACTTCATCGTAGAAAACATAACAGGAAGCAGCATGATCATCAAACTCCCTTCCAAGTGTAATCGCTCAATCCAAACAATCAAGCCGTTGTTTGGAGAAAATTATGCTCCATCGTTGCAAAACAGCTTTCTCCTCCAGGATTGCGCGAATCCAACAAACAGCTGCACTATCAACAGCCGTTTTGTTCAGAGACAATTTAACTTGCGTAATTGTAATGGTAATGATTTGATGTGTTTTTCTCAAGAGAACACCAATGATTTCATGAGTTTTGATGATATGAACCGAAGTGGTTGCAAGTTCTTGTTCTCTTCCTTTTTGTTTGACTCGGGCAGCAATGACTCATTGAAGTTGCTCGAGTTGGAGAGACTCGAGCTCAGCTGGTGGCTTGAAGGGAACTGCAGTCGAACCGCCTGTTCCAAAGATGCTAGTTGTTCGACTGTTAAGCTCGCCAATGGGAAGTTAGGTCACCGGTGCCAATGCAATGAAGGGTTTAACGGAGATGGATTCGCCGGCGGCGAAGGTTGCCGGAAAGGTCAGTCAACTTTCCGAATTTAGTAGTTTCTTGTTGTTTATTTAGTCATATGGGGGCTGTGGTAGCGTTTGACCACGAGAATTCAGCTAATAATAATTTCTAGTTTGACCAAGATTAGCCAATCAATAAGCGACACCTCATCAGTGTTATCTGTTCTGGGTCCCACTTATGGTTGAACTTTCAACGCTACCATTTGGAAAATGTGGTTATTTACTACTGAATTTCTAAGTGGGAGCTGGTCCTTGATTGCTGTTGTTGGTTTGACAATATTGATAGTTTTGAATGATCAAAGTTAGCTCATGTTTCACTCATAAGAAATTTAGTGTATTTGGCAAGCAGTAGCTGATAAGGTTTCAGAGACTCTCTTTGGATTCTAGGAAAACTCTAAAATTCTAAGGATGTGTTTGGGACTGCATTTTTTAAGTTTTTACGTCTCAAAAGTATGCAGCTACATAGGTAAATTGAAAGTGCTTTTAGAAAAAAAAAGTCAAAATCAAAATTTACTCCCTGTTATGTTTAAATACAAAAATTATAATTTGTAATTTTTAGAAAATAATTTTTGTTTTTAATAAAAATTTACACATGATATATCAACTAAATACATAATTTTTATTTATTTTTCTTAATAACAATACTTGTATGTAATTATTTCTAACAGAGACAAAAAACTTTTGATTAAAAACACTTTTATTAAAAAGTTATTTTAATAGTATTTTAAAACTCAGCACAAATTAAGGACATCCCAAACATCTCCAAGGTATAGCACAAGCTAAATGCATTAGGCATCGTTTTCCCTTTTGCTTAAGAATAGGAACTTGAACACAAATTTCTAATGGAGATGGTTTGCCAGCCAAGGAAACTTCACAGAACTTGTATTTTAACACTAATCAAACATATGATAACAGGACAGCTCTAAACAATGGACAGTTTTGGACATTACTCACTATATTACAACAAAAAATGTGGATTGTAAAATTTTACACGGTTACGTGGATCATATTGTGCATATTTTTTACCACGTAATTATTTCTTTTGAAAAACTCTGCAGTTTCTATACAATCTTCTTGCTGTTTTAAGAATCTTTCCATGACAGGAACTAGCAACCCGTTGATTGCATCCGTATACGACACTGTCATGTAGTATACTGATAGTGGAAATATTTATCTTTTCAGAAATAAGGTTAGGAAATGTAGGAAATGCTATGTTATCCATTTTTATCTCAAAAATCGATTTTTACCTACTGCTTTATGAATTCTTTACCCTTTAACATGAACAAATTGATACCCATATCCATTTTATTCTGAAATACTACCCTCCTGCTAATATGATTGCTACCCTTTTCAGCTGTTTCTCGCTGCAATAGTTCACAGTTCGTTTCTGCTAAATGTAGAGCTAAAGTCGGTGTTCTTATAGGAGGTAAATTTTTATCCTTGAAAATAGCAGGATATCTTGTGTTAGCAATCCTGTTTTTAAGAAAGAAAATTGCAGTCATTTGAAAAATGGAACTGGCTTGAGTATGTTGAACTTCCTGATTGAATTCTTAGATGCACTTCTTGACTCATTTATTTTCTTACTTTGAATTTTGTGAGACTAATAATTCAATTGCCATCTTCCCTGACATTCATCATATTTTTCTACTTTTATTTTGCTTTTCACTTGTTGACTGGGAAATGGTCTTTAATGATAAATATGTCCTAGATAGCAGTTCCTGATGTCTTTTCCATACTCTTTTTAACGTGAAGGAGCCTTTTTGTTTTCACAGATATTAGCATGAAATGTTTAATTGGGACAAAATCACATTTTTATTTTATGGTGACTATGATGCATTTCAATCTTGTTGGCCTTTAGTCCAATTACATATACGGATGCATTTCATTTGTTTAATTTTTGAGCTTTACTCATGTTCATGATGTGCTTTTTTCTTAGGGCTACTTGGTGGAGCTTCCTTAGTGGCTGGCTTCATTCTTATGGGTTATTGCTTCCATCAGTGTTCTACTTCTTTGAAAAACCGGATGAGTGCAAAACGCCTTCTAAGTGAAGCTGCAGGCAATTCTAATGTTCCGTTTTATCCCTACAAAGAAATTGAAAAAGCCACCAATGGCTTCTCTGACAAACAGAGGCTGGGAACAGGAGCATACGGCACTGTTTATGCAGGCAAATTGCACAATGATGAGTGGGTTGCCATAAAAAGGTTGAGACATAGAGATGCTGATAGCATTGATCAAGTCATGAATGAGATTAAGCTCCTTTCTTCTGTAAGTCATCCCAATCTAGTCCGTCTCTTGGGTTGTTGCATAGAAGAGGGTGAACCGATACTTGTTTATGAATTTATGCCCAATGGGACTCTGTCTCAGCATTTACAAAGAGAGAAAGGCAAGGAACTTCCCTGGACAATACGACTCACCATTGCCACTCAAACTGCTAAGGCTATTGCCTATCTCCATTCTGCTATGAATCCACCAATCTACCACCGGGACATCAAATCAAGCAATATTCTCCTGGACTACAACTATAACTCAAAGGTAGCAGATTTTGGTCTTTCTAGACTTGGGATGACAGAAATAGAATCTTCACACATATCAACAGCCCCACAAGGGACGCCAGGCTATCTTGATCCTCAATACCATCAATATTTCCATCTTTCTGATAAAAGTGATGTTTACAGTTTCGGGGTAGTTCTTGTAGAGATCATAACTGCATTGAAAGTGGTGGATTTCTCTCGACCTCATAGTGAAGTAAATTTGGCTGCACTTGCTATTGATAGAATTGGCCGAGGTTGTGTGGATGAAATAATTGATTCATACATTGAGCCACATAGAGATGCTTGGACATTGTCATCTGTTCATAATGTAGCTGAACTAGCATTTAGATGCCTTGCTTTTCATCGAGACATGAGACCTACAATGACAGAAGTAGCTGAAGAACTAGAGAAAATCAGGCTTAGTGCATGGGTTCCAAGTATGTACATTGCATCACCAGCAGCATCTTGTTGTTCATCATCAGACAATGGAAGTGAGAAATCATTTCGTTGTGTTACAGTTAAAAAGTCATCATTCGAGAGTCATAGACTGATAGTTTCTCAAAGGGCAGCTGATTGTGTTATGTCTTTGCAGGAGGTTAAGGATAACTCTCCTGTGTCTGTGCGAGATCCATGGTTAAGCGAACAGAGCTCACCTTCAACAAACAGTTTGTTAGATCATGTTGTTCAGTGACTCAAAGCTGTTTCTTTGGGTGCTTCGCATTATACCATTTGGTGAATTCTATCAAGTACTTAAAAGCTAAATATTAGTACTTAGTACTCCTAGATCTCATATATTAACCTTCTTGTATGTTTGGGGTATTTTATTTTTCAGTTCATTCACGTAAACTGATGATATGTTAAAACGGAAAAATGTAGAAGCCAAGGATAAATAGACAACACAAATATCCAGTCACTTAATATTGCCTCCGTTGCTTTCTTCGATTTTAAACCAAAACTGGTGATATATAGTTTAAATTACATCAAAAAAAAAAAAAAAAAACCTACACAACCGTCAAAATTTGGTGCATAAATTTGATTGCCAACCAAAGGAAGCATGTGGGTTAGTATTGGATTTCCTTAACAATCAAAATATGGTTATTCATATAATTTAAGGATTCAAACAGTATACTGTGGTAAATGGACAACTTAATTTCCTGGTATAATTCTTCCTGTATTTGATTCAGTGATCGACATAGTTATTCAAACAGGGCTCAAGTTGAGTGGAAAAGGGAATACAGAACAAAGATTTGGCAGGACAGAGGGACATATCCCCCTGTTTAAGCGGATCATTTGGAGCATCAATTCAAACCATCACTGGCCTGTCAAATTTTCACCTCTTGTTCCCTTCTGCTTTTCGCTCATACCCCACTTCAACAGCATGCACCATACCAGTATTTCCTTTTACATGCAGTTAACTTCAAAGAGCTAAGAGCAGAGTACCATTAACTGAAAAAACAGAAGGACAATGTATTATTGAGTGATGTTATGAACAAATTGCTATGATATTGGGGACAGTTGTAGAAAACAAGGAAAAAAAGTCTTATTGAAAAATGCTATCAGCTTCTGCGAATTGAGAAGGTTGCCAAAGACCCCAGGCACACAAACAAATGAAGAGCCATGACGTCTCGTATGGCTATATTTCATCTGCAGCAAGAGATTATGCTATATATATTACCTCACAATTCATATACACACATAGATACATATGGTTGAGTGTCCAAATGCAGAGTCGTTGGAGTATATTTACCCATGACTTCTTGGGCCAACAACTTGATGCACCTTCCTGTTTTCAGCACTTGAAAACTGTCCCAACACACGGGTATGGGGAATCAACAGCTGCCCACGAGCAAGGGCATCTACATTCTCAAGAAAATACTGCCTTGGAAACCTTCCAACAACATTACCCTCCTCATTCCCATCTTTGTCCAGGAATGCAAAATGTGGAATGCCCTCAACACCAAACTCATCTAGCTCCTGTTCCCACTTAGTGTTATCCACATTAAGCATGACAAAATTCACTCGGTCCCTGAAATCAACACACCCACAGAGTAATAATGGACACTAGCAACACTCGCCCGACCCCACAAACAAAAACAAATTACTTCCAATACAAAAATGTACCAACAAGCTGTAAACATTAAGATTGTTTAGCTAACAACAAGAACAAAAGCAAGCTACAAGAATAATAATATAATGAAATGGGAAAGAAAATACTTGTACTGCTGCTCAACTTTGTAGATATCAGGAGCTAATTCCCGACATACTTCACACCAATCTGCGTAAAATTCCACAACAGTAGGTTTCCCGTTTGACAGGGCCTACAGTAACCATTCCAGTTTATAATCACTAAGAGCCAAGAAAACAAAAATTTCTATCAGATTATGCAACAGAGCTGCGTGAAACCTCTTCATAAGGTAATGCGGAAGCAGACAAGTCCTTCAAAGAAACCCCAAAATCAAGCCTTCTCCGCAAGAAAAACCCTACGGCCGCAACGATAGACACCACAGCCACTCGCCTATTGATATCTTTGGTTGGAAATTCAGGAAACCCAGAATCAGCAGATGAGCTTAAAGCCTCGCTTGAGTGATCAGTAACAGGACCGGCGTCACCAACCGGCTTCTCCTGCACCAACCGGGCAGCCCTTATGAATTACATGTTTAATCAAAACACAAAAATCTAAAAACAAGAGAGAGCTTTGTCCAACCGTAAGATGAGGTTCGGTTTGACAAGCGATGATGGCAAGTCCGCGAGCTCTTGGTTGGAACTGGAGAGAAGCGTTGAGGAGCTGCGGAAAACGGGAAGGCTGAAGCAGGTAAGGCCTGGATCTGGGGAAACTGAGAGAAGGAGAAGCTAAATGAGCCATGGTCTGTGTTTTGCTTAATGCTGAACGAGTGGCTTACACCTTCACTGACATCTGTAGAAAAAAAAAATATCATGGCGAATTTGTTTAGTTTATTTATTTTTGTTTTAAATAATCTCGGTAGCTTCTTCCTTTTCCCAAACTCCTGGGGCCACACGTTCTAAAATAAATGGTTTAAAGAGAAAACAAAATGAGAAATTCCATCAACCACATGTTAAATTATGGAGAAAATGGAACAGTCTCCATTTCAAAACACGAGCAACAATAGATTATGAGCTTAATCCGGATTTTTTTACAGACTGATTGATTTGACAAACGACGTACAGGCAATAAATTTCAAAGAAAACAGAGCATTAATCGTCAAGATTTCAGATCTTCAGGCCTCAAAATTCCATGAACAACAGTACTGGCCACCAAAATGCCAACCGCCTCTGCTCCCGCCACTACCCCTGCCTGAGCTAACCCTCCAAACCTCACTGTTGTTTCGGTCTCTCTCTCTGCACTTTCGATCTCCTTCTCCACCGCTTCGAGCTCCTTTTCTGCCGTTTCGATCCCTTCCTTCACGATCTCCACAGCCTCATCTTCCGCGTTCCTCAGCTTCTTCCTCAATCCGAACAACGGAATTTCCTCCGCCATTGATGACAGTTCCCTGGCCGTCAAGACCGTCGCCGACGTCAGCGAGAACAGCAGCTGCCTCCGGTTGGCGCGGGACAGTAGAGGGTTGCTATTGCTAGCCAGCGCCTCTGAGGAAGTAGAGTGCGCATTGCGCGCGCAATGAACTGAGAGAGTTCTGTGTAGTGGTAAAGAGAGGGCGGAGGAAGCCATTAGCATTCCTTGCGAAACGGGGAAAAAGAAGAAAAAAGAAAAGAAGTGAGGATCGAGAAAATTTTAATTTTTGGAATAATATTGGTCTCGTGTGCGGCTAATTTTTGAATGGATTAAAATTTTTGGATATTATCTATTATTTTATTATTTTGATAATTAAATTGAATTAAAGAACAAAATTTTAAACTTAATAATGTGTACTAAATTTTGATCAAAAGTTCTAATCAGTTTATCTTTCATCATTTCTATGTTATTTTCATAAATTAATTTAATTAGCAAGTTATATATTCATCACCTTCTTGGCGCAAGTCAATTTTAAAAAGAAAAACGCTTTTGTTTAGAACATCAATTTTTTGACATAGTAAAAGAATAATTTTTAAAATTTAATTAAATTACCATAAGTATTTTTTAAAATTACATAAGTGTTTTTCTGATAATATATCTTAAATTTTATTCATAAAAATCTTATTTTCTGCTCTATTCTGATTTGGGTGTTTGAACCCAATAAAAGAAGACGTTTAACAAGTTATTTTTGATAATTTATAAGAGTTTATATTATTTTCCTTAAATAAGTTATTAAAGTATTTGAGTAATATAAATGTAAAAAGCATAAATACATAATTGAAACTTGATTTAAAATCTGTCAGCTTAATTGTGATTCATATATAACATGACATCTCATATTAACATAAAATAAAATAAAAAATTCAGTCTCGAATTACAGGTAATTCAAAATAATCATATTTTTTTTAAATCCAAATCATAATATAAAAACACCGAAAAGAAAAGAATAACATCAAATTCTTGGAACTAATTAGATCTTTTCTATGGATACTGAGATTCCAGTCTTCTTCAATCATCTTCCAGTATTCTTCCATTCTCTGCCAGTCCATTCAACTTCTTCGGTAGTCTTTTTTCACTCTGTCAAAAAAGTTTGTGTTTCTTTCTTCTCATGTTAAGGTGGAAATTGATGTGCATTTGTTGGAACTATTATGAGTTTACAAAGTTCTTTGTTGCAAAGGTTGATGGCAGATTATTTATAAGCACAATAATCCTATAAAATATGGTATACCTTTTTTATTCCCATGAAATCTTATAAAGTGCAGTGTTTTGGTAAGTTGCAATGTTTGGGTTTTCTAATTAAATAATCCTCTATTATTGTTGATGGTATAATAATCTTCTATTCTTAGTCATTTTCCAACAAAAATATTGATGCTTATGGTCCTTATGAATAAAACTAAAAATTGATAAGCTCTTTCTTCCATAGATTGGTTTCCCCCCCCCCCCCCCCACAGATTGGTTCCTTCATTTTGTGTATATATGTATATATATCTAAATTAGTACACATTTTCTATATTATTTCTTTCAGTTAATTAGTTGTGTTGTATAAAAATTAACTTTTTTTAATAATAATTAATTGATTATATTTATTTAATTGTAGGTATGAGTGACATATTGCACCACAAAATAACAATTTGATTCTATTAAAAATATATGCATAACTTACTAGTACTATTTTATTTTATCCAAATAAAATCATGTTATTTCCTTTATTAAAAAAGAAATTAAACTTTCAAAAACTGTTAAAATCAATCTCCCTGACATGACTATAAATTATAATTTTTAATTAATGGATACTACGGAGCATTTTTTATTTTACAAGTGATATTTAAATTATCAAAACTAAATTTGATATCAAATTCATTTACTTATATTTTTGCACTAGTTAAATCATAAGTTATATATGAAATATTAATATAATAATATTAAATATATATATATATATATATATATATTCCCAGATAATATATAAAAAAAAAAAAAAAAAAAACTAAAACGCAAGAACCTCCATCTTCTCCTCTCACCTTCACTCCTTGCTACCACTTTTTTGTTTCTTTTTTTCCTCTATCCTTCTTCTTCCTCCATCTCATGTAACTCATTCTCTACTCCTGTAACAATTCGTGCGTTTTTATAGAAAACATGTCATCCTCATTAATATTCACAAAATAAATAAATAAGTCTCATTAAATGTCTAATCACTAAAAGCATTTAAATAAAAAAATATCTTGTTTCCAAAATGAACCCAATAACTCAACCCAAATCATTTCTAAAATTTCACAATCTCAACATAATTCAAATGAACATAGTTAATGTAGCATTAAATTGATATTTTAGAGTTTTACAGTAGAATAAAATTTTATTTTGTCATAAAAGAAAAACCAGATAAAAATTAAAATTTAAAATGATGGATTTCAAGCAATCAAAACTGTTAGAATAAAAATATGCCAAGAGACCCCTACTAAAAATATTATATATGCAACTCTTATATTGAATATGAGTGCTAGTGAATTGTGATGTATAATGAGTAACACACGGTGCATCTTAAAACTCAACTATTTCACGAGGACATTAAAAACATAGGTTTTTTTCATGTGTATATACATATGGACAAGCATGTATTTTCATTCATTCAAAATTATATTTGATATTCTACTGACCACATAAGAAAATAATATTGAATCTATATGATAATCTTTATAAAATTATCTTTCATTTAAAATATATGCATTCCACCTATATCTATATTTACGACATACGCACAACTTAAAAAAGCATTTTCACCCACATAATACATATAATTCAAGAAAATATTTCTAAATCCTTTTAAATAAATTTCTCTATATAGATAAAGATATTGGGTTAATTGACTTTTCAATGTGACTTTATAGTCATCACTAAGTAAAGTGTATAAGCGAAGTGGTTTTGAACACCTATTAATAGTAATATAAACAAGTAACTAATATGGGATAGAAATATAGTAAGTATAAAGAACAAATTTCCAGAGATGGAACCACCCAACGTGCACCTGCATTATCTCCTCATGTCCCAACTTAAGAATTTAACTATAACCTCCTCATTTTGTACTTGCTTGTTTATCGAGGTACTAACCTCCACAACTTACACAACTTATTTTTTAATTGCATAAAAGAAACAATTTAAAAAATTATTTTGTGTATGGATCACAAGTTCAAACTTGTATGGTTTTATACACAATTCATAAGCAACCATAAGAAAGGATATAAAATTTTAACTACAGTAACTCTCTAATTAGAGTGAATAATATAAACAAAAGTTCAAAGAATTTAGCTTTTCTAATTTCTCTTGATACATGATATTTGGAATTTAGGCATGAGCAGTTCTCCAAAAAGATGTTCTTCAATATTAACCACAAAGAAGATCTTCAAATATGGATTAGGATGAAGATATAGATTTTTTTATTATGAATTCTCGACTAAATCTTAAAACAAATGATTAATCGCAAACGTGAAGACTTTATTAAGGTACTACTTAAATCTTTTTTCAAAAGAATAATATTCAAATTTGCTTAAAAGAAAGATGGAAACCAATGAATATATTCAAATATGATCAAGAAAAGGATAAAATCTTTTCAATTATTTCTTCCTCAAGAACTTTTTTAAGAATAAGTGATTAAATAATATTTAAATTGCTCAAAGAAGATTTAGAATGTTGTATCAAGAGTTTTTCTTGTAAAGAATATGATGATTGAGGGTTAAAGGAGAAGAAGATTTTCAAAATGATTTTAACAAGTTTTGGTTCTTAAATCTTCTCAAAAATTATTAAAACTGTAGTAGATTGAAGATATTTATTGTTTCAAGCGAGAACTAACCATTAAAGATATGTTAATTTGAAGAAAAAAAAGTGTTGTTAATTTTTTTTAACAGTCAAAGTCATACTTTTTGTGCCCATTATGATATAAATATGACGTAAATTTGCTCTATCATAAAATGTTTCCCAGAAAGATTAAATTTTTAGAAGTTTATTTCTAAATTTTCTCCAAAAGTAGTTTTATAAATATAATTTTGAAAATTTTAAAACATTCTAATCATACTTTGAGCCGTATATGAAAATTACCTTGTTACATTTGAGAAGAAGATTCTTAGAGGATTTGATCTTGAACGTATTTTTTCTTTAAGTGCTTTAATATGATATTCAATTATCGTGCTCCTATTTTCTTCTTTTTTACTTATATACGTGAATTCTTCTAGTGTTTTTCGTTGTTTTAGCTTTGATTATCCATTTAAACAACAACTTGAAGTAATTGTTAATATAAATTAAGTATTTTTCATATCAATAATTTCTCCTTTAATTGTATCATATCAACTAAACTAACATGACTCCCCTTAATATATTCAGGAGGTAATAAACTAAAGTAGAATATTTGTAGGTAATGCACCTTTTTATATGGTGCTTTTTACTTAGTGAGGTGAGTGAATAATTTTCTCATTTATTTGACACCCCCTTACTTTTTATCTCTATATGTAAGGGAGTCTTTCCTAAATTTCTATATATATTTTTTTCTGTCTTTCTCTCCTTTTATAACTTCCTTAATACCTATATCCTTCAATGTCATAGAACTTTGTATTTCCTAATGGTATATTCTTATTATTCTTATGATTTTCTCTAGGAGAAAAAAATGACTTATCATACATGTAACAAGGACATGTCAGTTATTAAAAATGCATATAAAGAACTTTATAATCCAAATCTCAACATTCTTGAGATTCCCAAGATGTATCTTGCAGCAAGTATATGAGAATGATAATAATAATAATAATAAGATATTGAACATTTAGTGAGAAATTTAAAGGGAAAAACTTAATTTTCTTCATGATTGATGGTATTCTGATTCTTATTCTTATTGTTGTATTGTATTATTGTTATCATATTATTATTGTTGTTATAATTATTATTATTATCGTTGATTTAATTTAGTTTTTATTTTATTTTACTATTATTTCTCCTATATTATTAGCAAAAAGGAAAAAACAAAAATAGAGAATGGAAAAAAAAAGTTAAATAACAAAAGAAAAAAACAAATAAAAAAAGAAAAAAAAATATTGATGCTTGCTCTGTAATATCTTTTATTTTCTTCAAACTCTGAGCCCAAATAGGTGAAACCTTAGCCTAAGTGCATATGTAAAGCCCAACCCTAAAGTTTTAAACTAGTCTAACCAAGTTATTAGTTCGCTTCCCAAGCGACATCGTTT